GTGTCCTTCCTGCTCACTGGAGTGTTGCTCTGGAGACAAGCGGAGACATCACTTTAGTTTTGTTACAGAAACAACCTGAAACCATCAAAACACCGAAACAAACTGGTAATAAACTAACCGTGCAACATGTTCCACGCCTCAGGCTGGAAATATTATTTTGCAGGCTACTGAATATTGAACTGAATATGAACTTATGTATTTTTCTGTGTCGAGTCCCTGAAGAAGCAGCAGCCGAGAGAAGAACAAAACAACAATATGAAGTTGGTTCGTGTCAATAAAAACCCTCCAGTTGGAGCTGATCATGTGAATGTTCACCGTACTGGGAGACCGAGACATCAACTGGTTTTTAAAAATGTTACTGGAGATTTACTCGCAGATAAATTCAGTTAATTTCAATTTAAACCGCCAACGCTTAAAAGTCCACCAGAAGGACCGACTGTGAGGGACGAGATCTTCTCGTCAGCTGCTCCACAGTGAAGCACGGCGGCGGCACCATCATGCTGTGGGGATGTTCTGTAGCTGCAGGGACTGAGAAACTGGTTGGACGTGCGAAAGATGACCGAAGAAGACAACATGGGCGGGGCTTAGAGACAACGCTGTATGTCTTAAAGCGGACCAACCAGAACCCTGGTTCTGGTCCGTCTCTGAAGACCAGACAATGGTTGTCTAATCCTCACCCAGCCGGAGAAGACGTCCAGCCTAAAGTCCAGTCCAGGTGTAGCAAAGCTGCATCCAACCCAAAGAGACGAACTGCTAAGGTGCTTTAAGTCGGACTCGGGGTCTGCAACCTGCGGCTCCGGAGCCACACGCGGCTCTTTGGTCCCTCTGCAGCGGCTCCTTCTCGCTTCGACCAAAACTGAATTTTATTGGTTGTTATACAAACAACAACAAAAATACCAGTTTTAGCTGTTTTCCTGTCATTTCTTTGGCAAATAATTTTTGCTTTATTTCTATACTTATTTTTTTCCACAATTAAAAAAAATTACATACGTCTGCATAATTCATAGTTTTTTTTACTATTTACCCCCCTCTTTACAAGAATCTGGTCTTTTCATTTGTCTTAAATTGAAACAATATCAATGTTTTAAATCAGATATAATGTCAAGTCTCCAACGAACCCTAAAGCGATCACTTGATAATCACAGTTGTTGCGGCTCTGGACACGTTTAATTTAGTGAATGAAGGTTTAAAAGTTGCTCTTTGACCATAAAGGTTGCAGACCCCTCAAGGTACAAACTAAACGTTAAATGATTTAAACGAAACAGTATAAAGGTCTGCTCTCACTTTATCATTATGGGGAATGAATTTTATCGACTGTAGAGACGGTTTAAAGAGAAGAGGAAGGATCCTTTTTTTAATTTAAATTTTTTAGGAAGGATCCTTTCTGGAGCAGTAAAGAAGCACTGATTGGTAAAAAGCAAACATTTGAACAGCTCCGGGTGGAACTGCTCCTGTTGGGCAACACTTGAGTAAACAGCTTCAGGGGGTTCGGTTCGGTCCACTTGCAGAGCTCGGGTTCTGTTAACTGGAACTGTAAATGCTGACTGGTGTCAAACTGATGAGTCAAACTCTGGGAAACAGTAAAAACAAAAAAACTCAACCGCAGCAACTTTCTCCTCTGAACTGAGGGACGACATCCGGGTTCTCGCCACGTGACTCAGGACAGCGTCCCCACGTGACTGGGGACAGGAAGTCAGGTTTGGCTCCAAACCTCCACCAAGTTAAAACGCTTTTTATTAAACATTATGTATTAAATACTTGATATATAATAAAACTGCAGCTGGGAGTCCTCGGTCCAGCTGGATTCAGTCACGGCCCAAATGAGGACTTTGGTTTGACCCGCGACAAAACGCAGCTCACAACTTTGATTTGAGGAAGACTTTAAAACTCGCAGGGGGCTCGTGAACAAAACACGGCGCGCACAAACACGCGCAGTGCGCTGCGTTTTGCGGTGAAACGTGATAAAACTTTCGCGCCGTCTCGACGCGGGAGAGTTAGCATGAAATTAGCCGCAGCGCGCGGACACGTACCGCGCTCGTGAAGAAGTCCTCCCCGTCCTCCTCCTCGCTGTCCCGGCCTCCGGCCTCTTCCGTGTCCAGCACATCTTGGTCCTCCGAGTCGGGGAAAGGAGGAGGACTGCGCTCCGAGCTGGACGCCATCTTCAGTCCGTCTGACGAGGGGAGGTGCCGCCTCCGCCGTTTGTCCTCCGGTAAACCGCTAACGGTGCTGCTTCACCTGGAGGGGCTCAACCGAACCGCACCCGGAGAAGCTGGATTATTGATTGAGAGAGAGGGAGGAGGAGGAGGAGGAGGTGCGAAGCTCTACTGTCGCTTTTTTTTTTTACTTCCTGCTCCTCCTTCCTTCCAGCCCAGGTTAGCTTCAGAGTTAGCCTGCGAGTCCGCGCTCCGGGTGAGGAGGACTACCGGGGTCAGGTAGAGACATCTGACGGTCAGGAGGAGGTGCGATGTCCCGTGCCATGTCCACCGGAGACCAGGAGGAGGTGAGACGGCCTCTTCTCACCGGAGACCACCTGGATTCAAGCGGGCTGGACTCTGAAGGTCTGTCTCCTTCCACCGGACACATCATGCTGCCCTAAAGCTAAAAACCCAAACAAATTATTATTATTTGTTATTATATTAGTTATTATTTTTATTATTATTACTATTTTACTAATTTTAATGTTTAGACTTGACTGTGCAAAAGTTTCCATCCCCTCCAGATGTTCTTGTTGATCCACACTTTACAGCTGTAAATGGGATCATGTTCATCGTTATGCTGATGATACTCTGTTCTATTGATGAAACCCAATGGATCCAACCAGTGTTTTTCAAAGTGGGGGGGCCGCCAGGGTGGAAGGGGGCCTCAAAGCTGGAGAGAAGAAGATAAAAAAAAAAAGGGCAAAAATAAAAAATTGTAATAATAATAAAAAAATTGCACATCACGGCAATCTGTGTCATTTCCAGATGAACAGTGAGGTTAGAGTTATTTTCTTCTTCTGGTCAACAGTTTGTTTAAAAGTTGTTGTTTTTCAGTGGAAATATAATGCAGTGTTAGTTAATAACAGTTTTTTACCTGCAGCAGCTGTAATAATTAATTGAATACAGTGAATTAAAGTTAAAACATTCTAAAAGTTGATGTTTCTTTACATATTTTGTAGCATTGTTTGTGGGTTTGCGAGGGGCGGGCTCGGCCAGAAGCTGATGCTGTTTGAGGGGAACACTGTTTGGGAACCCATGCCCCGACTTAGACCACACTGGTAAAGATTCTCAGTCATCCAGCGGACTGGGGTTTGAGTTATAAAGCTGAGCTAAGCTAGATACAGATGCAGATTGAACTATCACTACTCACACAATGGGGACTGTGTTTAACGCCTTTATATCTTAATCAAGATACTCAAAGCTCTTTACAACAATCTGTGTCCTCATTTACCCATTCACAGCTCTATACTAGATCTATACAAAGCTAACTGATCAAATCATTGTAAAGAGACCAATCATTCACATTCATACACCGATAGGCTATGAGGGGTTCAGTGTCTTGCCCAGGGGCACTTCAGCATGCGACTGCTGGTGGATTCGAACCCCAACTCTTGCATTTGAGGACGACTGCTCTAACCACTCAGCCACAGTTGCCCCTTATAAGATAGGATTAGCCCCAATAGGGATTTATTTGTTAGGGTCTTTAGTCTGAGGCTCAGAGGAGCTGCTCTGGTGACGTGGCTGAAATTCCTGATAGGTGTCAAACTGACTGGGGATCAGTCCTAAAGCTGCATTATACGTTTTTGAAAGTTGAAATCTGAGACCTCCTCTGTTCAAAGATGGTTTCTCTCGTTTTACACACATTCCTTCCTTCACCCCCCTCTCAAACCATTTGTCTTCTCAGAATGTGCACATTCTGGTCCTCACATGAGTGACCCTTATCCCTGAGGTAAAGGTGAACCGCTGAGTCTTGTCCTGTGGAGGTGGCTCTCCTGTGTTGAGCCATGCGTCTGTGAAGAGGCTGTTTGGCTTCTACAGTGTAGAGGTCTGGACAGTCCTCGCTGCACTGGACCGCAGACACCACACCACTCTGTTTGTGTACGGGTGTTTTGTCCTTAGGGTGGACCAGCCTCTGTCTGAGAGTCCTGCTGGGTTTGAAATGTACCAGGATGTTGTGTTTGTTGAAGATCCTTCTGAGTTTCTCAGATACTCCAGCAACATGAGGGATGACCATGTTTTTCCTTGTCCTGGTTCAGTTCTGTGGTGTGTTTTGTAGATTTCCTCGCTGACTTGACAGAAGCCCAGTCAGGATATCCACGTGTTTGAAGAGAGTTTTTTACATGTTGTTCCTTTTCCTTCCCTTCTGTCCTCGTGTTCGGTCCGATGCTGTAAAGTTCTGATGACAGAGAGTTTGTGTTCCAGTGGATGGTGGGAGTCAAACAGAAGATACTGGTCTGTGTGAGTTGGTTTCCTGTAAACTTCAATGTTGAGGCTGTCCTGCCCCTCCATCTGAACCAAACAGTCCAACAAAGGCAGCTTGTTGTCGTTTGCATCCTCTCTGGTGAACTTGATGTTAACAGAGTTGATGTGTCTGGTGAACGCTTCTACTTCCTTGGCTTGGATTTTGACCCAGGTATCATCTACGTATCTGAACTAGTGGCTTGGCGTTGTTCCCTCAAATGAGTTAGTGGGAGAGATCACATCTCTCCAGTTTGAGCTTCTCTCCATTGGCTCCCTGTCAAATCCAGAATAGAATTCAAAATATTATCAACCTACAAAGTCCTCAACAACCTAGCTCCATCTAATATTCGAGATCTTACTGTTCCATATTTTCCTAACGGAGCACTTTGCTCTCAGACTGCAGGTTTACTTGTGGTTCATAGAGTTTCCAAATGTAGAATGGGAGGCAGATCTTTCAGTTCTCAGGCTCCTCTCTTGTGGAACCAACTTCCAGTTTCTGTCCATGAGGCTGACACATTGTCCAGTTTTAAGACTTTCCTTTTTGATAAATCCTATAGTCAGGGTTGGATTGGGTTTCCTGAAGTATCTCTTAGTTGTGCTGCTATAGACTTATGGAGGACAAATTGACCACATGTCCTCTCTCTGCTGCTGCCTGTACTTGTAATTATTTCTGTTTTTTGTCTTTCCTCCTATAGAAAGTCCACCTGGACTATAGAAAGTCCACCTGGACCAGTTAATCTGTTTCTCTTTCTACTCCCTGTCCTCTCAAACCCAGCCGGTCGAAGCAGACGGCCGCTCGTCCTGAGCCTGGTGTCGCTGCACGATCCATACCGTCGGCTCATTTGTGCACGATGCACTAAAATAAATACTTTTGAATACGCTAGATTTAGGAAAATGTACTTCCAGCCTTAATTATAAAGGTACGCTATAAATTACATCCTGTAAGCTGATTTAATACAACACATAAATACATTTTGATATTAATAAAATGTATTTATGAAACATACCATGTTTACTGATATTAAAATATCTCTTTCTATACATTGATTAATTCTCCAATGTTATAATTCGGTTTATGAAGAAGTGCCTTCATTTACGTTCAAAATTATAATTCAGTAGAAAAATGTGTATTTTGGACAGTAATGTATTCACGCTGCCAGTGCGCCCCCTGGTGGACACATTCCTGACAACACAAGACCTTTATTTTAAGAATAGTCGTGCAAATGAGCTGCCGTACGGATCGTGCTTCCAGCGCACATCGTGCAGTGACACCTGGTTCTGCTGGAGGTTTCTTCCTGATAAAG